AGGGGGCTTCTTCCTGCTTTCCCTTTCGCCTCCCTGCATTGTGCCTACATATGCAAATTAACCGCCACCTTGTTGGCAGTTAACTGCCAATCTTAGTTGGCAGTTATTTTGCATATAGCCCTGATTAGCCAATGAAAAAGGTAGCGTCGTATGCCAATTACCATTTTTCTCTTTTATTAGTACTTGTAGATAAGGAAAAAAAAACCATTCTTCCAAGCTCCTCATAGAAAAATTAAAAGTGCAAATGTGAAGCAGAGATGTACAACTTTATCAGTAATATATTTTATTATAAAAGAGCACCTATATACTTATAAAATGGCAGACTGAAAGGTTAATAGCCACCATTTCGAAGAGTTAGGTGAACTGGACACTCACTGAATATTGGTGGGGACTAAAGTTGGAAGTTTTTTGGAAGCCTATTTATAATGGGGTGGTTAACCAAGAGGGCTCTGGAGCCAGACTTCCTGGATTTAAATGCCATTCACCACTTCCAAGCAATGGGCAAGTTATTCAACATCTGTTTAACTCATTGTTCCTTATCTGTAAAATGAGAATAATAATATTTCTTGTCTTATAAGAAGTAAATGAGGTAAAACATTTAGAATGATCCCAGGCACATTATAAGCACTCACTGCTACTACCTGTTATTCTTAATATGGCCTACTGACTGCTAAAGCTAAAGACCTATTTTTGGCTCTCTCACTATTTGTTGTATACATTATTTCTGAAAACTTTCTCCATCTTAATTTTCAACATATTGCAATGCCCCAGCGATTTTCAACAGGTGTGCCATAATACTTTTTTAAACATGCAATACCTAACTAATTAGTCAGGGGCACGCTTTTCCCTTAGACCAGTGGTTCTCAACCTTCCTAATGCTGCAACCCTTTAATACAGTTCCTCATGTTGTGGTGACCCCCAACCATAGAATTATTTTCGTTGCTACCTCATAACTGTAATTTTGCTACTGTTATGAATCGTAATGTAAATATCTGATATGCAGGATGTATTTTCATTGTTACAAATTGAACATAATTAAAGCATAGTGATTAATCACAAAAACAATATGTAATTATATATGTGTTTTCCGATGGTCTTAGGCGACCCCTTGTGAAAAGGTCATTTGACCCCCAAAGGGGTCGTGACCCACAGGTTGAGAACAGCTGCCTTAGACTGTCAAATAAAAAAAATGGCAATAGCCAACACAATAGCCCTCCCATGTGAATGAATCAAAATTATACCTATTTTTTTTTGAGTGTTAAATCAGCAAAAACTATATTTTTTTGGTGTGCTACAGAATTTTAGTAATTAGTTTGTGTGCCGTGGGATGAAAGGGTTGAAAGCTGTTGCAATAACCTAATTTTCTTACATTTCTCTAATTTTTCTACTGTTTTAAAACCACAAGATTCAGTTCATGATCTTTGGATCCTTTTCTTTGTAAAAAATCCCTTTCTCAGAGAAGTAATCCAGTCAGTTTCACATTAAACTCAATTTACCTTATTGTTGTTTTTTTAGCAAAAATAGTTTGCCATGTCCAAATAAGAAGCACAACCTTCCTTCACCTCCTTGAAAACCAGCTCCCTTTTCATTTTTTTTAAAGACATTACTATTCTCTTCATCATTTGGACCTGAATCCTATTACCTCTGACTCTCCCTCATCTTTATTGATGACCCATTTTTTAGGTTTTTCTTTTCAAATCTTTCTCAAATATGATTCTTCCTTTCCATCCCACTAACACCATCCACAGACAAGTGCAACAATGCTTTAGCAGTCTATCTCTTCTCCCATCCTCTTATCTATCAACAATCCATGGTTCTAACAGAACAAAGAAAAAAGTAAGAGCTTTAAAGGTAGATTTTAAGTGCTTTCCACAGTCTTATTGCAGTCATTTTAAGGATCATCTCAAAGCACTTTAATACTTCTCTAAACTGTAGTTTACATAGATGGTAATCATTTTCTAAATAGCCTTGTTTTTCCTAATCCGGTTAGCTTGGCTTATATTAATCTCAATGCTTAGGATATTCCATTTCCCATCTTGGTACAAAAAAAATCTTAACCATTCTTCCTCTTTGGTCAAATACTACCCCCTTAGAGAAATCCATTTTTAATCATCTGACATTATTTGCACTAATTTTATGGATCTAAAATATAATCTCCTGATTAAAATTCTTTATTAGATTACTAGACAGAAGGCTGATGAAAAGCAGATAGTATGTTTTACCAATACCTAACTGGAATTGCTTTGAATACAGAAGGCACAAAATTATTTAACTAATGCAATTCAGTCTGATTCAGATTGTTTTTCACACTAATGAAGAAGGTTCTAGTGTTGTTTTCTTCTTCAAACCACAGAACCCCTTCTTTAAATGAAAATTGATACAATAGGAGTTCAAAGTAACTAATGGATATCTAAAGTAGGACCTCCCTATTTTGTGGGGGGCAGGAGGGAGTATGGGCCAAGTTACACCCTGTCCCCTCCACCCCCAAAAATAAGTCCCCAAAGGGGCTTCACTGGGTATAGGTGGTACCATTAGTAGTATTTCTTTTAGATTCTAATATAGTTCTGAAAGATATTACTGATGACTAATAAAGCAGTATGCTATACATACATTATAATTAGCTTATTTTTTAAGTAGTTGAAACATTTTAGGAAAAGTTTTTTTAAAAAGCTCTTATCATATTTTACAAAAGGAAATTAAAGACATAAAAATAAAAAGAAGTATTTTCCAAGATCACAGTGATATCAAAGCTCAAACTTTACAAGAGGGTTGGTTTAAAATTAGTATCTCCAGTTCTCAAATATCTGTGAAAATGTATGTTTCTTTATAATATATGCTTCACCTAGTTTTCTTTTCCTGAGGGTATACTTGTTTGTATTACCTAATCTATGCAAGCTATCAAAATATAGGAATTCCTAATACACTGATAACAGATAAAACTAGGCTTGGATTAATAATTCATCATACAAATTAAAGCAATTTATTTGTATTACCTAATCTACGCACACTAATAAAAAATAGGAATTCGTGGTACACTAGTAACAGATAAAAACTAGGCTTGGATTGGTAATTTCTCACACAAATTAAAGCAATATTTAAAATTAAAATAAAAACTAAATATGCACAAATGATCATGTATACACACATATATGGATATATATACACACAGGTATATACAGATGACTATAAAGCCATTATGTATATACATACCTCTATACAGATGAGTGTCTTGGTATAGTAGGTACTCATCAGCGACTTACTAAAGCATGAATGAATGTACAGAAATAAAAATTTACTATTTTTATATACAAATACCTGATAGATTCAGTATCTATGTGCACAGGTGCTATCCTCTCCAAAAGAAACTTGATCATTTCCAGAAAAGGATTTGTAGGCTGTTTGGGGTTGCCCAACTTCTTAGTTATTTCACGCTGTAACATAGATTTGTTAAAAATATTACAAACATATGTGTAAATGATTACATTTAAATGTTAAGAACCTACCATAATTAAAACCATGTATTACCGGTACTAAAAATATTGAATCAAAAGAAACCGAACAAGTCCAATAAAAAACTAAATTAAGAATTTTGCATATAAGAAAGGTAGCATATCAAGTAGGAAAAATATAGATTATTCCGTATATTATATCAAAATAACTGAACAGACATTTAGAATAAAAACAGAGCTAGACCCTTATCTCATACCTTACAGCAAAAATATTCTAATAGGATGAAAACAAATACAAAAGAATAAAACCAAGTGTCAGTAGACATACAAACTTTAGCAAACACAATTATCAGAGGAGCTTGTGGAGCTACAGATTTCTGAGCCTTGTTGTGGAAATTCCCAGTCAATCTGGGATAGAGCCAAGAATTATCTTTTTTAATAGCCTCTTGAAAAAAAACATGGGCAACAGATTTTAAAAAACTGTCATACAATATTTTCATTGACTTGTAACAGAATGAGATTTCACAAGCAGGGCTCGAAAGGAAAAATCCTTGAGAAGACTGCTGATAAGACTCAGCTAAGTAAAAAAAATTATGGCTATACTATATACATTAAAATAATACAAAATAACATAGAATATAAACTGTAATTGAAAAAAAATTAAATTAAAAAATAAAGCTAAAGTATGTAAGGGACGACATAAAATGAAAGGACAAACTACAACTGACAGAAAATTATTTGTGGCTCAATTAACACAAAATGCCATTAATAACAAATCAATAAAGACAAATATTCTAGCTAAATAGGCAAAGATTAAAAACACAAAAGAAAATGTATAAAAGAATTATAAATGGGTACTACAGGAGAAAAAAGTCAGATGACTAGCAGCCAAGAATTACAAATCCTATCAAAATAACTATGTTTTTAAGTTTTGCTTATTTCTAACAACAAAACTGACCAATACAGAATTTATCCTAAGGAAATAATGAAGACTATGTAAAACTATTTAGCCATAAGGATCTGAATTAAATTGTTCTTTAATCAAAAACTGGGAGAAAAGTCTACATATGTAACACAGAGGGCTGTTCAATAAATTACAATAAATATATTCAATGGTATGATCTATTGCTATTAAATATCTTACTGTAAAAGACTAAGTAATGAAAATAAGTAAAATGAACAAAGCATTTATTTCAGAAGGATATACACCATACTATAAACAGCAACTGTCTCTATTAAAAAATTATCATTTATTTATATTGTATTTGTGACATTTTCTGAATTTTACATGAAAAATATAAATTTTATAAAAGGGGACCAAAAAAAAAGTTTGGGGGTTTCTTCAAACATTAGCTCTTTTAAATTTTTCTTCTTACCACACAACCTTCAGCTTGTTTGCAGGAACATGTTGGACTAACAAGTACTTCTAACTGTTTTCTTATTTTCTCATCATCTTCCAACACCTGTGTGAATTTCTTCATGAAATCCTGAGCCTTACCAGGATCTGGCAAATTTCCTAAAATTCAATTAAAATAGAATTTTGAAATTTCTCAAAATTTTGGCTCAAAATGAAATTAGCTTCAGATAGATTCATATCTGAGCAAGTAACACCAAAGCACAGATTCACTTTTAATAGTCAGCTTATGTAATAAATTGAACTGATTCTGATTAATAATCCTAACTTGCATCTATACTAGGAAAGACTGAACTGGCTATCCTACATAATAAGAGCCTAATATGCAAACTGTCCCCTCAACCGGGAGTTTGACCGCTTGCTATGATGTGCGTTGACCACCAGGGGCGGTGCAAAACATGGTGGGTGTCGGGAACGCAGCACTGGCAGCAGAGGCCCTGCCAGCCCTGCCAGCCCTGATGGGCCCCAACGAGAGCAGGACTGAGCGGGACAGTGATGGAATGGTGGAGCAGGGGAGGGGGCGGCACCAGGTCAAGGCGGGTGTGAGTGGGGACCCAATCACCTCACCCATCTCCCCACAGATAGCGACCAGCGTTCATTATAGAGAAAGGGCAAATAGCAAAATTGAAATATTTCTTCTAATTATTTTCCTTTCAATGTGCATGAATCTGTGCACTGGTCCACTAGTTCCTAAGTAATTCCTTGTAATATTTAAGGGCATTAAATGCCAACCTGAACAGTAATTCCATTATCCCCTTGAGCTTCCTGCATACATTGTTCTTTTTCATTCACAGCAAGAGATCAGTAAGTTTTACTTTTAAGAAATGATTTCCTTGTATTCCATTGTTTATTATTAAACCATCCAGATAATGCATATGCACACTCCTGCTATCTGACACCAACACATGATAAGCAATACGTTGCAGGTGTTACTGCCAGACATGCCATTATTGTACAAGAAAGAATGAGTCTTTGTAGAATCAATAATAATTCTTATACTATTCTCCTAATGTGTCCATGTATCAAAAACACTTATGATAGCTAATAAAATATTGATCCTAGATTCTTTTTTTTTTGGCTACTTACAACTGCTACAGAGAAGCAGATAAGATACTTATAACAGAACTTATAATACTGAACTATGGTCTTTAATAAAAGTTGTAGAAATTCAACTGAATCTTAAAATGTAAGTATAGTAAATGTAGTCTTCAAGTTCATATACAACTCTGAAATTCCATTTTAGTTCTTGGCTAGATCACTGACTAGTAAGAAGAAATTTTCCCCCTAAATAATTCACTGATAACCTTTTTCAGGGTTCTATAACTCAAAATACATACTTTGTTGTTTTTAAATGATTTTAGAAAATGTCCCTTTACAGCTCCTCCACAATGGATAGGCATTATATTAAAGGTTACAGGAAGGCCTACCATTTTAACAAACAAAACAGAATGACAGATGGGAATGGGGAGGCAGGAGAGGAAAGGAGGAAGGGAGATAGATAGAAATGGAGCGGGGGGACGAAAGCAACAAAAAACCTTTAATTCAGTATTCCACAAATGTACTTGACCATAGATTCCTCTTTTCTAACAATGCAATTAACTCCTGCAGGATACTAGCATTCCTCAGAACAGAATTATGGAAATACTAAAATTGTTTGAAGAAATGGATGGAGATAGAGGGAGGAAGAGAGAAAGAATATAGGAGATGATATACTTTAGGGTTAGTGTCCACACTCAAACTGCTAAGGAGATAGTTATAAAAAAGCAATAGTACAATTCACTTGCTATAAGTTATCCAAAAGGACTGAAAATGAATTTATGTTTAAGACTCAAATATACTTTGGGCTTAAAGCCCTACTTATGCAAAAACTCTTATCACTTAGTCTAAAACCCATGAATTAGTTCTTCAGTGTCTTAATATTACTTCCATACACATCTTGAAATATTTGTTAGCATCTCAGAAATCCATCTAACCTCTCTTCATTATTACTCTGGAAGCTCAGCAAAAGCATTCCTCTAAGGTGTTTATTTTCCCTGTCCCTCTGTGATCCACAGTGGTCTGGAAGAAAAAGCAAATGCCCTGCAACAACTGCTATTATCTCTCCCTGCACTGAACCAAGAGGATATGCTACATAATACTTTTGTCTTTACTGCTCAATGCAATTAAGTAACGTTTTCTTTGAAATCACTGAAAGCGAAAAGGCTAATTAATAATTGTTTTCAAAGAAACCCTTTTGTAATTATTAGGTATATCCTTCATTATAAATTTGGCTCAAAATGAAATTAGCTTCAGACAGATTCACATTAAAGCAAGCAATACCAAAGCACAGATTCACTTTTAATGTAATAAATTGAACTAATTCTCAAAAATAAATGTATGTAAGTCCTTTATGGAGCTCTTGCTTGTATCAACAAACAAAACATTTCCATGCGGTATGCAAAGTAAATAAAAAGTCTGAAAAACAAAGGGAAAGCTGAGCTGCCAAAAAAAATCAATCAAAAACTTTTTAGTTTTTCCTATATTATTATATCCTAAAATGGAACACCATGAAAAACTTGAAATTACCAGAAATGTTTCAACTAAAACTTAAATTTTACATATAATATTTGATAACTTACTTGTAATGACCATCACTTTTGAAAATATAGCCTTGACACTGGCATCGGTCTGAAAATCACGGAAAAAATGCAAAATTAAAATTTCCTAATAATAATCTTCATTATATTCTTCAGAACATTAGATAAGCATAACCTACAAATGCTCCAGCCTTACCACCACTAAATGCTCCTTCTTTACCTACTAGAGGCCCAGTGCATGAAATTCATGCATGGGTGGGGTCCCTAGGCCTGGCTGGAGATCAGGGGTGGGCCGATTGGTGCTCAAAGGCCCCGGTGGGGTCGAGAGAGGAGGTGATGGTCACTGGGCCAGGCGTGGAAGGAACGGACGCCAGATGCCGACGCTGCCACCATGCGGTTCCCCACCTTCCCCCTCCTCCTTCCCTCACCACCAGGCCACCACTGCGGCGGGTGGGTGGCAGGCCAATTGAGACCTGCCAGCTAGAAGGAGGGATGGGGCGCAGGAGGTTGGCCACCGGCCCCAAGGAGAGAGCTGGCCCTTGGCCCCCCTGGGAAAAGGGCTGCGTCTCCCCCACCTCCAGTTCCCCGTCCCAGCCCAGGGCAAGGGGGAGGGACCGTGGGAGGTTGGGCAGCTGGGGGAGGTTTACTGTGGGAGCGCACTGACCACCAGAGGGCAGCTCCTGCATTGAGTGCCTGCCCCCTCGTGGTCAGTGCATGTAATAGTGACCGGTCATTCAGTCTTAACAATCGCTTAGGCTTTTATATATATAGATGTTCAAACTCCAGACAAACTCAATGAAAAGTGGCAGCGAACTCATTCTACATCATCACCTCTTCCCTCACTCTGTTATATCATCCTCCAAACCAAAAAAAGAAAAAACAGACTACTGCACCACCTTTAGGACAGGAAGATATTATTTTTCTTTATTACTAAAGGATCAGGGCAAGTAAGTTAAGGAAAAAAACAATCTGAAATGCTGGTGTTCGAGGTTTAACCCTGATCTACAAAAAAAAAAAAGAAAGAAAGAAAGAAAAAAAGTTAAGTTTACAATTCTGATTGACTTAAGGTATTTCTAAAATGTTTAAGCCTGAGGATTATAAAGCATCGTCATGAAACTTATAGGGAAGATTCTGAATAAAGCCAATTTAAAAAGATTACATTAACATGAACAATTTTCCCAAGAGTGCTAGCTATTTGCTACATCATAGTAGTATTATTCCAGGCATGAACATGTTCACCAACTGTACTGCATGTAATACTACACTCTGTAAAGTCAAATGTATAAAACAAGTTTCAAAGAATGCTACTTATTTGTTGCACCAGGTGTTATTTTTTTTTAAATGTCACTGATTAACTCAACTCTAAAATATGGAGCTCAAAAAACATTGGGGTGAAGAAAACAAATCAAATAAACAAACACTACCCCTACTAAGAAGGCGCTTGCTGAGAGGAACTGAGAAAAATATAATAGATTGTAAGAGAGTTAACTCCCAAATATTTGGAATTAAAAATATTTGAATAAGATTTCTGTTTAATTTGGGAGAAAAGAAATGGTGTGCTGGGCTTTCAAGAAATTAATCCACATGAAAAAGAAACATTATCAACAAAGATATAATCCTGGAAATTACCAAGTCACTTTGAATGACACTGAGCAAATCAATTTAGTTAATGAACCAGAAGGACTCCAACGCTGAGCTAAGTAAGAAAAAAAACTATCTTAACGGATAAATAATGAAGGCAAAAAATATATATCGATCATTAAGTATCTAAGAGTCTTCCCAGTAAAACAGAAATATAAACACCCACAAGTTAAACACAGCTTTGTATTTTTTTCTAACTTTATAATGTGTACTATAATTCTTGATATAAGCAAATATTAAGTAATACCTCATTTATAGGAGAGGATTACTATAAACGACTTAAATTGCACAAGCTCATTAATTTTTATAGCAAATGGACAAATTTACACCTAGGAAAACAGAAAGCAACTCTGCTCTATTGATCTCTGTACTATGAACATGAGGCATACATTATGAAGGATGGGAGGATTTATAAACTATGGACTAAAACATAAATGAAAAATAACACTATATTGTGTTTCCAAGATGCAATTTAAAATGACCAGGCACACTGTTTTTCATATGATTTATACTTTTTATAGGCTTGCATACACCATTCTAGGAAAAAACACACCAAAAAAAAAAAAAAAAGGACCATCCTAAAATCATTCTAAATGTCCAAAAAATAAAATGTGATGTATCAACTGGATGAATACCCCTATTACATTATAATCATGAAGAAGAACATTAATGTTACCATAATATTAATTTTAAATAAAAATATCATTATACTTAATTCTACATATTAAAACTTTCTAGAAATCACAAGGCTATACAAACACAATGGGAGAATTTTAGTGTGGCAAGATAAAAGTATATAATTTTACTCTGTTACCTGTGCTTTCAATGATGCACAGTTACTCTTTTGGTGTGTGTGTTTTTCAAATTTAAAACTACAAAAAAAAAAAAAAACCCACAAAAAAGAAAAAAGAGGGGAAAAAAAAAACAAGATCAAAAACCCTTAATTCTGAGTCCTCAGAAGGAAAACATTCTTTTTCCTGTTAGGTATCACCTTTTACAGATATAATAAATTTCACTTTTCCCATACAGTAAGTTTCTTCAAAATTTCAGTGTCCTAAGCTAGAAACCATAGCTTCTAGAGTCAGAACTGTTCCACTCAGAAATAGCTGTTTAACATACAGCAGTAATGGTAAAGACAAAACTTAATATCAAAGGAAAAGTTTTCATTAAATTTAACTTACTTTGGGTTGCTTAATCAAGTCAAGCAAATCCTTTACTTGATGTCTGAGCAGATTTTGACATTTCCACATTTCATTCAATGCTCTGAAAAAGACAGACACATAAGTTTAAGTAACAAAGGGTGAAAATCCTTCCAGAACATTCTAACTATATTAATTTTTTTTTCAAGTTCAAAACCCAAAAGGAGGTGACAGAGATGAGGTAAAATTAATAGGACTAAGCAATTGATGATGTATGGAGAAAAAGCAAACCATCAAATAGAACAGATAATAACATTTAAGAAGATAGCTGCATCAAAAAAAAGAGATTGTGGTGGTTGTTTTTTCTTTTGTATAAAAATCAATCATTAACTAAAATGTTTGTAGGCTAGGGTGTAGAAACTAGCTACAGAGATTATAAATTTGAGAAATAAAGGAATATTTGATGAAGTAAGGTTCTGTGGAGGCAGGCAGGCCCAAAAGAAATAAAGACACATTCTCTAAGACAGCGGTTCTCAACCTGTGGATCGCGACCCCTTTGGTGGTCGAAAGACCCTTTCACAGGGGTCGCCTAAGACCATCCTGCATATCAGATATTTAAATTATGATTCATAACAGTAGCAACATTACAGTTATGAAGTAGCAACGAAAATAATTTTATGGTTGGGTCACAACATGAGGAACTGTATTTAAAGGGCCAGAAGGTTGAGAACCACTGCTCTAAGAGAATGGGAATACTTTTTCCTACAACAGAAATATATTTATTGCATTATATATGTATACAGTATTTTATATGGCATACATGAAGTAATATATTATGGATTATATATACTTAAATTTCCATATCCAAATAATACTCTTTGCTGTTTTCAATTATCTGCACTTCTATTAATCTCCATTATTCTACATATGAAGCACTGCCATAAAACAGTAATACAGAAACATACAAAACTTTTTTAAATAAATAAAACAATTATAAATGGTTTCATATTTTCATTCTCCTCAACAGTATGTTTTAAAAATACCTTTGGCCCACCAGCATGGCTCAGTGGTTGAGCATTGACCTATGAACCAGGTCACAGTTTGATTCCTGGAAAGGGTACATGCCCAGGTTGTGGATTCGATCCCCAGTATGGTGCATGCAGGAGGCAGCAGATCAATGATTCTCTCTTACCATTGACTAGAGGCCTGGTACACAAATTCATGCACAGGTGGGGTCCTTCAGCCTGGCCAGCGATCTGGGCCATCTCCCTCAGTCCTGATAGGGACCGATCGAGGCCGGCTGGCAGTGGGATGTTGGCTGTGGGAGCACACAGACCAGTAGGGGGCAGCTCCTGCATTGAGCATCTGCCCCCTGGTGGTCAGTGGGCATCATAGTGACTGGTCAACTGGTCGTTTGGGCAACTGGTCATAACGGTCACTTAGGCTTTTATATAGAGAAATGTTTCTATCTCTCCCTCTCCCTTCCTCTCTGAAATTAATAAAAATATAGTTTTTTTAAAAAACACCTTTTGGAGTTTTTAAATAAATTAGTTTAAATTTGGATACTTAAATTCCTTCATAGTAGTGACTTCAAAATGGCAAAACTCTGTATTGGAGCATTTTCAATTAACAAGTTAAATTTGAATTATTAAAATATTAATTTTCAAAGAAATAATAGTCATCTGTAAAATACTTTTGAGCTTCAAAGTCAGTAAATTCTATTTCTTCCTATGCACCTTATTACTTACAACTTCTGAAAGACCTGCATTTTAAAACATGCATTAAAACAGAAATTACATTGCCTATTATAGTTATTAATTTAAAGATGAAATCTCATGCAATTCCAAAGCTCATTATAAACTACTAGAGGTCTGGTGCATGAAATTTGTGCACTTGGGGGATGGGGGGGAGTCCCTCAGCTTGGCCTGCACCTTCTCGCAGTCCTAAGGGGATGCCCGACTGACGGCTTAGTGCTACCAAGGAGGCAGAAGAAGCTCCTGCCACTACCACTGCATTCGACAGCAGGGAGCCTGGCTTCTGGCGCACTGACCACCAGGGGGCAGCTCCTGCATTGAGCGTCTGCCCCCTGGTGGTCAGAGTGCATCATAGCAATGGGTCATTCTGCCATTCAGTCGATTTGCATATTATCCTTTTATTATATAGAATTATTGCTATGGCTTAAATAAAAAAGCGATCATAACTGACTCAGATTTTCTATTACAACATATTTAGGGAGCCCATACTCTCAAAAATTTTAAGTTATAATTAAGCAGCAAAGACAATTATCCTGTGTCTTTGTCTTTCTACAGAGTCCTCTTAAAAACAAAAAAACTATACCCTAGAAGCAATACTGCTATAATAGGGAGACAAACATATATTTTTTAAATGTGTTTTTATTCACTTCAGAGAGGGAGTGATAGAAACATCAATGATGAGAGAGGATCATTGACTGCCTCCTTGCACACCCCCTACTATTTATTGAATATTAACCTGAATTCCAGTTCTATAATGTAAACAACCTGCTTAGAGCTTGTTTATTCTCACGTGTGCTATCTGACATTTCAAGCAGATAACTTGTTCCCTCAGTAAGGCTTCTCCTTGTTTGCACCAACATAGTTTGTGCCACCTCAAAGAAAAAGGCAGGTACCTTGGGCTGCAGTCAGAAACTTGTCCAAATGGTAAAGAAAACCTTTCTCCAACCTTCTGCTCTAAGTTGGCGCATCAGATTCAACAGTACAAAAACTGCCTGGATAAGAACCTACCCAGTGAAGAACACATCCAGGACACCTGATATTAATGCTTACTCTTGTCCCTAACAGTTGTTCTGGGAAATCTGGGGAAGGTGGACATACACATCCTGAACAGAGTACTCAAGCCTGCCTCTATTCTCTTTTTCCATAATCAAGATATTTAGTTAACTTAGGAGCTTACCCCAAGCTGGTACACATCAAAAAGTCTAAAATGTATGAATTTTTTGTCCTCCCCCAAAGAAAATCTATCTATAATAATGAAAGCATAATATGGTAATTAGACTGGACATCCTTCCGGACAAAGCTGGGGCTGTGAGGGAAGCCCAGGTCCCGGGTGCCAGATGGAAGCCGGCGACGGCAGCTGGGGGATGGAAGGCATACTCTTGCACGAATTTCGCTCATTGGGCCTCTAGTAGCTATATAATAAAATATATGCCTCTTTTGACAAATAAGAATAAATCCTTACCAATTCTCACCAGGAACCTGCCTGCCATGCAGGTATTCTTAAGCCCTTTCAAATTAGAGGTAACGAATTCAAATGACCTCTGGGCTAGAATGATAATGTAAATGAATGAAACATGACAGGTGTTATAATATGGAATTGTGAGGACTGTGGTGAAACAGGAAACATTAATGAAAATAGCCCTATTATTTAGTATTCAGGAAAATGAAAAAATGACAGAATTTGATACCCAAAACATCTGCATTAAATTAGATACCTAATATTGTTTAGGAAGATGTAGAAACTTACAAACCACTAGTGGAAGTATAAATTAGTATATAATCATATTGGACATTTCAAGTAAACAACTAGTTCCCTCACTAGTGCTTCATAAAACTGAAGATGTACATGTTCAGCAATTCCACTCTTTGCTAAATACTAGTGATTCCAAACCCTGGTTGCCCATTAGAATAGTCAGAAACACTTTTCTGCAAACCTCAATGCCCAGATTACACTCCAGACAAATTAAATGAGAATATCTGAAGGTGAGATTCAGGTGTCAATATTATTTTTAAGTTTCTCTAAGTGATTCCAATATGTAGCCAAATTTGAGAATCATTAATAACCATAAACTTAGAAACCCTTGAATGTACATACTAAATTGAAAAAAGTTCATGGTAGCACTATTTGTATTAGTAAAAAAATGGAAACAACACAAATGTCCATTCTTTCCAATGACGCATATATCCAATGTCAAGATAACAGAATAAAATTGTGGTATAGTGACATAATGTAATTAGATACTACAGTGAAAATGAATGAACCACAAGCTATATACAGGGTAGGCAAAAGTAGGTTTATAGCTGTTAGTACTCAAAAGTTTATGTTATTATTTCTTAATTATTATATTATTTATTTGTATTATTAACTATAAACCTGCTTTTGCCCATCCCATTTATCATGTATGAATCTTAGGAACATAATAGAGTGGGGGTGGGAAGACCACAGAAGACTATATCCACAATTATTCCATTTTCATAAAGTTCAAAAATAAGCAAAAATAAATAATATATTATTGAGAAATACAAACATATGAGAAGATTATTTTTTAAAAGGAAATAAGATTGGGATTTTCATTTAAGCTATGTAATGTCTGGTCACTGGGGTGGACACCTGAAACTACTAGTAATATAATGATGTATGTCAACTGTAATTGAAAATAAAAAATGAATTAAAAAAATAAGAGATATAAGGATAGTCTTTCCTTTGGAAGATAGGAGAATAAAAGGGAGAAGAGATTCACAGATATTTTCATTTTATTACTATGATTTGAGTCTCATATGTGACTTCTTTGTGTGCATTAAGTATTTCATAATAATAAATGTAAACACTTTTGGCGAAAACAATCACAGATAAATGTTAAGTTAAATATATAACAATATCTTGATAAGCATCAGTTAATTCCCCAAAAGTTGTTTAAATTAAAAAATAATTTAAAGATGATATATATATACATAGTTTAAGTATTTTAATTTGAAACAGATAAATCTCCACTCACTCACCATTTTTATAGAATAAATTGGTCCACAGATTGCAATTTACTGTCAACTTTTCCATGGCATTATTTTCCAGTGTATCTTCTATAATTAGCATTTTACTTTTTAAATCAACTAAATATACTTGTCAATAAAGTAATGATTGGTATATGACATATTTAGGTTGGTAATTACTGTTTGTATTTTGTGTTTTCTATTTACAACTATTTTTCTTTTCCAGATCTGGTGTTAAATTTTCATTGATTCTTTTTTGTATTTGAAACTATATATTCTTATTCGATGCTTTGATGAATGACTCAAATTTTTAATACTCACAATTGATTTATGGTCTAATTAGTCAACATGTCTGTCCTCACTCTTATGAAAAAGAACTTGAGAAACACTTTACCTGACATATTACATGTTATCTATCATCTGATAGAGTCCACCAAGTATTCAAATTTTTTCAGAGGCACAGCACCAAGCAATCATAACAGCTGGCAGTAAAACAAGGAGGCCTTCCTGCTGCGCCCTAGGTGTGGATCTAGGGCAGTGATGGCGAACCTATGACACGCGTGTCAGAGGTGACACGCGAACTCATTTTTTTGGTTGATTTTTCTTTGTTAAATGGCATTTAAATATATAAAATAAATATCAAAACTATAAATCATTGTTTTACTATGGTTGCAAATACCAAAAACTTTCTAAATGTGACACGGCACCAGTGTTAAGTTAGGGTTTTTCAAAATGCTGACACGCCGAGCTCAAGAGGTTTACCATCACTGATCAAGGGACTCTCAAAAGCTCACATACTATTGCAGTGGTGTGTACTGACTAAATACCAGTCTAGATGCTAACCTACTTTTTAATTCACACCCTCGCCTCTTGTAAAGAAAACTTTGTTATTATTACTGTTTTTATAGGCATTGATTATTTAGGTCTGCAAAAGTGAATATGCTTGAAAATTTTGTTGCGTCTTGCATTCTATTCCTTCCTTCTGGATTTATTTCCTTTTTTTTACCAAAATAAATTATTATTCTTTACTAATTTTTTTCGAGTAGGATCTATGAATGGTGAACTCTCATTTTTTAATTCTAAGTGTCTTTATTTTTACTCCTGAATGACAGTTGAGCTGAATCAAGAAATATAGATAACTGTGATTTCAAGTAGGTTATCTCAAATTGGAATATATATATGTCATCAATTCTAAGAGGCCATCAATTGACCATGGAGAAAAAAAAATGCATTCCAGAAATGTTAGATGAAAATTGGTTTTAAAAGTAATTATATATAGTAGTGACATATTTTATAATATTCAGTGGAAAAAGAACGAGTTGTGGAACCAGGTAGAACTGAGTTCAAATCCTGACTTAGTCTCTTACTACTTGTGACACTGTGAAGTAAACTGACACCTGTGGGATTCAGTTCATCTTATCTATAATAATAAAAACATAATATGCAAATCGACCGACCAGCAGAATGACCGTCCGGGTGACCTTCTGGATTACGCTATGACATGCACTGGTGCCAGGCCAGCCAAGACAGGTGTAATGTGATTGGTCAGAAGTCAGGGGGTCCCACAATTACCCCGTGATCGCCTCACAGAGGGAGGCCCAGGCCGCCCTCTGACCGGCGATCAATCACGGAGCCCCTGTAGGGTGGGCAGGGCCTCACTGTGCGTGGTAATTGATCATGGAGCCCCATGATCAATCGCCTCAAAGAGAGAGACCCAGGCTACCTGACCAGTGGCACTGCGGTGGGTGGGTGGGGCCTCCCTCTGTGGGGCAATCAATCTGAGGGCCCTGAGATTGATCACCCCGCAGAGGGAGGCCCAGGCCGGTCAAGTGATGGCAATCCATGCCTGTTGCCCGCAGGAGGTGACCAGTGGTGGGGGCTGGGGGGTAGAACTGCACAGATGGAAAGCAGTGACAGCAGCAGGGGCGGGGCCAGCTGCCAGCAGCCGGGAGAAGGAAAGCCCTTATAGGCCCTGATAGCCGGCCAGGCCTAGGGACCCTACCCAAGGGGTCTCAGATTGTGAAAGGGCGCAGGACAGGCTTAGGAGCCCCCCCAATCCCCACCCCCATGCATGAATTTCGTGCACCAGGCCTCTGGTCTATGTATATAAAAGCCTAATATGCTAATTGTCCCTCTGACCATTCACCAGGCCGCTATTACACGCACTAACCACCAGGGGACAGATGCTCTGACTGGTAGGTTAGCTTGCTGCTGGGGTCTGGCCGGGGAATGGGTGAGACAGGACTAGGTGAGACAGGCTGGATACACCTAGAGCCCTCCCACGGTCCCACCCCGGCCCCGATTGCACTGGTGGGGTCCCTCGGCCTGGCCTGTGCTCTCTCGCAATCCGGGAGCCCTTGGGGGGATGTCAGAGAGCTGATTCTGGCCTGATCCCCACAGGCCAGACCAAGGGACCCCACTGGTGCATAAATCCGTTCCCTCGGCCTCTAGTATGAAATAAGAAAATTATCACTTATATTAGGGGTTAGGAAGCTTTTTCTATAAAAGGTCAGATATTTTTTAAGCTTTGTAGGCAAAACAATCTCTGTTGAAACTATTCAATTCTGCCATTGTAACCCAAAAGCAGTCCTAGATAATACACATTCCTGTGCCTAAAATATAGCAAGTATCAAAAAATGTACACTTCTTCCCTCCACCACCTTTTCCCCAGCATTTCTATAAAAATATAAATGGCACATACAGTAATTTCCATGGGGAAAGTGAAGTCAAGTCCCATTAAATATCAGTAGGAATGAAAATTATATACAATTCCTCAGACTTCTAATTTCTGATGATTTACACCACAAGAATTGTAACTGCATTGTTAGAGAATGCTAAGGAACTACATTTTCTAAAACCTCGACTCAATTTCCTAACCTTCAGTATGACTCAATTAGCAATATATCTTCCAAGTCCAAAATGCTAATTCCCTACAAAGACATCCAAAAATATTTTTCTGAATAAAATGTGGTTATAAAAATTTGTTTGTGCTTGCCCTCATGCCAAACTATAACACTATGTTGAGGTTATGCAGCACAAAAATATGTACTCTACTGTTCTATACCATAATGCAAATCAGCATCAGGTAAAAAAAAGAATGTAGTATTTTCATAGTGTGGACCTTTGTAATGCCTTAAGAAAAAAAAAAAACAGACACAAAAGAACCAAAAAGAAGGTAACATCAATATTTCTCAAGACAATAATATGAAAAATTGAACAGAGAAAAATCAAATCCTAAAAGAGTCCATGACAACCAGCTCTATTTTTTAATTACTTACAAAAATCCTTGTTAATCTTATGTCAATAGTAGTACTGAGAAAAATAGCTGCATGTTTTATTTCTGAGCATTTAAACAATGTTTAGGTTTATATTACAGAAATTGTTAACATTTAAAAATACTATTGTTATCCCCCCCCCCAAAAAAAAAATCCAGTATATTATAAAAGATGAAAAGAATGATTTGGCATCTGAAACATACTTCACAGCATTTAAATCCAGTGTGGCATACAAGTAATATAAGCACTTCATCCGTTCTGTAGTTTCCAAATTATGGGGAACCATGTATTGAGCAAAGATCCGTTCAACAAGCAATCTATGAAAGAACATAAGAGAAGGCATTATCTTGATTTTTTAAAATGTATTAAATTTGTATATAAAATTTCAAAACACATAAGGAACACATATAAAAGAAATTTCTCCATTCTAAGTTGAGATGAGAGTTCCAAAAAAAAAAATTTATGTAAAAATAGGAATCAATCAAAAATATGTAATGACTAGGGTGATGCCAGGTAGATATCTGAAATAGCAGAGCACTACTCTGTAAAGTGTATGACTGACTAACCACTATACTGCACACCTGAAACGAATACAAAATAATGTTGAATGTAAAATGTAATTTTAAAAAAGATACAATAGGGGTCAAAAAAGATTTTAGCTGGATATACTAGCAACTAAGATAACTACTTTTGCATGAGCCCATTCAAGTTATATATCAAGAACTCAATTTCCTTATCTAAATAATAAAGGATTAGAAAAAACTACACCAGGTCCTTCTAAACATCACTTAGTTATAAAGTAATTTTTAAAAAATTCTTTGAATTTTCTAGTGATTATGATGAAAAAAGACCTGGTTAAAAGTACAAAAAGTGCTATCAAATCATAATGCAAATCCTCATACACTAATGGCTGTGCACTCCAAGTCTATAAACTTCAATTTATAAAATAGTACTATGGGATTTTTTATATAATGTCAGCCTAAGATATGCATATTCTACTAACTATTCAGTTTGGATACATACAAAAATCTGTACTTACACTGGAACAGAAAAATAACAAAGATTATATTCAGATGTGTTTTTATATATACTTATAAACTGTTTTTAATTTGAGTAGGAATTTTTTTTTAATGTCTATAACCCAAAGGATTTATTTTCATTTATATTTTATTTGAAAAAAATAATTGTTATCCGTGTAATACAACTATTTAAGAAACAAAATCTTTATCTATAAAAGGCTAGATGACCGACCGTACAGATGGTCTCCGACCCACCAGCTGGTACATATGATGCACACTGGCAATTTAAAAATAAACGTTGACTTGCGCATGTATGATACATATAAAGCTCTTGCTGGCGCCAATTGCATGTGTGTGTTCTGATCTGTCATTGTTGATCGTGAATTTGGTTTTCTGTTGAGATTTAATGTAAACCACATCACGATTTATTCATCGACCATCTGACCAACCAACCAGCCAGTACATATGACACACGTTGGCAATTTAAAAATAAATGCTGACTCGCGCATGTGGGATACATAAAAAGCTCTCGGAGCCAATCGCACGCGTATTTTAATTTTGTAATACTATATTATAAATATATAAACTATTTTGACATGTAATTTTTTTCAGTAATGTGATTACCTCACGAATCTTTCTTCTAATTAATTTCCTTTTAATGTGCACAAATCCATGCACCAGGCCACTAAGTATAAATTATAATTGCACACGTTATTTTTAAAAATTATTCTGATCTAAAGTAATATATAAAAATGAACATAAAATTATATCTATTCCTAAGTTATATGCATATTACTGCTTCATTTACGGCTTTGGAGGGAAGGAAACTAGTCACTCAGTACCTTTAATTTGCTGTTAAAACTGAGGAGGGAGTTTAAAATGATAAAGAAAATAATTTTGCCTAAAACAACAGATCAACAGTTATATAACAACCACAAATTTTACATATAGGGTACCCTTAACTTACCGATCATCAATACTATTTTGATAATATATATGTAACAATTTGTCTTTGATCCATGAAATCTGTTTTGCAGCATCTTTTCCAGCTGCTGATTGTAAAGCATATTTCTTATAAATCTGGGCAAGTCCCATCATGGCTTCTTTGCGCACTCTCCACTTAAAATAAAAACAAAGGTGTTTACTTATAATATAAAAATGCTTTCATTATATTAATTCAGAATTCTAGGTTTCTAGTTTCTAGTGTACTTTATACAATTTATTTTCATCAAACCAAAGTTACTAGATATAAATTTATAATAGGTAGATGAAAAAGCACAAACTCTCATTTCAATATACCTACTATAGAAAGTACAGATATATCAACATGCATAAAAAGTTTTAATGCTTTAGTGTCTTAAACCCATCACCTAAATGTAAAAGCAAAAGCTAATCACAATCTACATAAAGCAGCAGTTCTCAACTTGGGGGTCGAATGATCCTTTCACAGGGTTCGCCTAAGACCATCGGAAAACACATATGTAATTACGTATTGTTTTTGTGATTAATCACTATGCTTTAATTATGTTCAATTTGTAACAATGAAATTGGGGGTCACCACAACATGAGGAACTGTATTAAAAGGTTGCAGCATTAGGAAGGTTAAGAACCACTGACATAAAGTATGCTTGAAAGTATACTACCAAGTTTTAAAAGGCAAAGAAAGAGATGATTGGACAAATTATAACTTAACCCTTATTTTTTCCAGATACCTTAAAAATAAGTATGCTAGTACATTAAGCATACTTATATTAAAGATACACATATAATATTGGCTTTATCAAATGCTAAATGTAAAGACACATCAGTGCTTCATTTTATATATCTGGAAATTATCTTTAAGTATAAGAGGACTGTATTCAACTATCTATAATAATAAAAGCATAATATGCTAATTAGAACGGACAGCAGAACCACCTTCCGGATGTCCTTCCTGAAGAAGCCATGGCGGCGGGGGCCGAGGCGGTTAGGGGCAATCAGGCAGGCAGGCAAATGGCTAGGGGTGAACAGGCAGGCAAGCAAGGGATTAGGGGCATTCAGGCAGGCAGGCAAGCTGTTAGGGGCGATCAGGCAGGCAGGCAAGCAGGTAGGGGTGATCAGGCAGGCAAGCGAGTGGTTAGGGGCAATCAGACACGACCGGGCCTAAATGGCAGTAAGACATCCCCCAAGGGGTCCCGGATTGCAAGAGGGTGCAGACCAGGCGGAGGGACCCTGCCGCCCCCATGCACGAATTTCGAGTTTTTTTAAATAAATACAATTGGCTATAGTATGTTTAACACTGTTTAATTATTATGGAATAAGCTTATTCTTTAATTTTATGTCAACACAACACTATAATCAGTGGGATGTTAGTAATGATTAGAACTTCATTAATCTGCACAGATTATTCATTTATCCTTTGCAGACTCTCATTCATAGTAATATTCTTCCCATTTTATTTAAATTAATTATAGTAGATTAAGAATAGGCCTTACCATCTACCACATACACATTAAAATAAGACTGCAGAAGTCTTACTCATAAAATAAATTCAATTTGTTTGTAAAAACTTTATCACTAATTCCCTTATCTCTACCTCTATCTAATTCTCCAAACTCCTCCTTAAAGATAGAGTATATTCTAATACTACCAAAAACATAAATATATTCACTTATATGAATATATTCAATTATATGAATATGAACATTGAATGAACCAAGCAACCCTAAAATGAACAAAACAGGATCATCAAAAGTATACATGAATTATGATCCCAAAACACACACCTCAAATTCCAAGTCACTTAGAAGGCTGTTTTCCTACCATGATGCAAATCTCCTTATTGTTTAATACCCCAATAAAATAGTCAATGAAGACAAGTCTAAATTAATCAGTTTAAATAAGCTGTTCTGAATACCCATAGATTTGGAGGGAAAACCATGAAATTAATTCCTGCCCATCTACCACAACCAGCATTATCAAAGAGAATTAAATTATGGAGATAGCATAATCAGTCTTATAAGCAACTATTAAGATACTAGAGGCCCAGTGCACGAAATTTGTGCGGTGGTGTGGGGGGTCTCCTCAGCCCGAACTGCAGCCTCTCCAATCTGGGACCACTCAGGGGATGTCCAACTGCCGGTTTAGACCCGATCCCTGTCTAAACAGGCAGTCTGGCATCCCTCTTGCAATCCGGGACCACTGGCTCCTAACCATTCACCTGCCTGCCTGATCACCCCTAACCCCTCTGCCTGCCTGCTGCCCTTAAGTGCTCCCCTGCTGGCCTGATCATCCCTAACTGCTTCTCCCCTGCCAGCCTGATCACCCCTACCTCTGCCTGCCTGCCTGAGACCCCTAAGTGCTCTCCCCTGCAAGCCTGATTGCCCTAATTGTCTCTGCCTTGGCCCCCACCACCATGGCTTTGTCCGGAAGGACGTCCAGTCTATCCTGTCTAATTAGCATATTACACTATTAGTATAGATAGTTTACACAAACATAACAAGGCAAGGTTCTTTTCAGAAGCCATTGATTAATGAGTGGAGCTAGGGGATGCTCACTCAAAAAGGAAGGTTTGGTCCTGGTTGGTTTGGCTCAGTGGATAGAGCCTCAGCCTGTGGACTGAAGGGTCCCGGGTTTTATTCCAGTCAAGGGGACATGCCCGGGTTGTAGGCTCAATTCCCAGTAGGGGCATGCAGGAGACAGCCGATCAATAATTCTCTCAACCATTGATGTTTCTTTCTCTCCCCCATCCCCCTTCCTCTCTAAAATCAATAAAAATATATTTTTTTAAAAAAGGAAGGTTTGGCCCTGCCCAGGTGACTCAGTTGGTTGGAACATCATCCCGTACACTGAAAAAGGTTGTGGGTTTGATTCACACACCACAACACACACACACACACACCAGTCATGGAGAATATGGGAGGCAATGGATAAATGTCTCTCTCTAAAATAAATA